AATTTCAAATTTTTGAGCATTTTGGATTTTGGATTTTCAATTAGGGAAGCTCAACCCATACTTACGAGAAATTACTTTGGATTTTTTTTTTTTCTTTACAAAGTTGTATGTGAATACAAAGCATTTTTTTCCTTTTCTAATCTATGACCTTTTTTTATATGTTTCATATTGCTTTGGCTAGGATAACTAGTATTTCATGTTAGCTGTAGGGTTTGTTTTTGCTTTTTTTTTTTTTTTTTGGAGGTATTCATACTTTACCACTGTTTCTCTTTTATTTTTTTTTTAAGAGACATGGTCTCACTTTGTCGCCAAGGCTGGAGTGCACTGCTGCCATCACAGCTATCTGCAGCTACAACTGCCTGGGCTAAAGTGATCCTCCTGCTTTAGCCTCCCAAGTAGCTGTGACTACAGGTATGTGCCATCATGCCCATCTAATTTTTTTTTTTTTTAATTTCTTGTAGAGACAAGGTCTCTCTATGTTGCCCAGACTGGTCTCAAACTCCTGGCCTCCAGCAATCCTCACCCCTAGGCCTCCCAAAGCTCTGGGATTATAGACATGACCATTGTTTCTTTTAGGCAGCATTTGGTTGGGTTTTTTTTAAATTAATTAATAATTCAATTCAACACTCTACTTTTAACTGGGGATATTTAGACCATTTATATTTAATGTGATTATTGATATTGTTGGGTTTAAGTGTATCATCTTGCTATTTTCTATTTGTCCCATTTCTTTCCTCTTTTTCTGAATTCTTTTGGATTAATTGAATATTTTTTATCCCATTTATCTCCTTGTGGCTTATTAGCTATACATACTCTTTGTTTTGTTACTTCAGTGGTTGTTTTAGGATTTGTGATATACATTTACTTAACATGATCTGCCTTCAAGTGATATTATACCACTTCTTACATAGTATCAGAACCTTATAATAATATACTTCCCTACTTTGTGCTATTGTTGTCATAAATTTTGGTTTTACGTGTATTATAACCCCATACAATATTATTATTACGTGTTGAAAAGTAAATTATCATTTAAAGGGACTTAAGAAAAAACCTTTTATGTATTTACTCGTGTAAATCTGTACTCTTTGCAGTACTCTTCTTTCCTCTGTATAGATTCATGTTTCCACCTGGTATAATTTTTCTTCTGCCTTAAGGATGTTATTATTTCTTGTAGTGCAGGTCTGCTGGTGATGAATTCCTTCAGCTTTTGTATGTCTCTTACAACGTATTTATTTTGTGCGCATTTGTGAAAGATCTTCCCAGTAGGTATAGAATTCTCTCCTTACTCATAGATTCGGAGCCCATAGGCCTCCGTTCCGTTCCACCCTCCGTGGGCGGCTGTCACCTTGTCCTGACAGAATTTTTGCTTCTGCCTTCTCCCAGCAGCAATAATCTTTGCCTGGGAGAGGCAGATGGGTTTTGCTTCTTTTCCTTCTCCAGAAACTATTGATCTTCCAGTGCCCTGTGGGCCATGGTACTTTCTGGACCTTCCCCAGCAAGTTAAGGCTGTGTGGAAGGATCCGGGGAAGCCGTGGAGCTTTGTGTCTGTTTCCCACAGCCCCCAGTCAGCTCCCTGGTTGCCCTGAGGTCGCCTTGCTTGATCTCCTGCCCTGTCTCCCGCCTCCTGAACACCTGGCGAAGGCGGGTGCGGAGGAGCTTCTCAATCTAGAGAGTGGGAACTCCCTTTTCACGTGAGGCCCTCAACCAGGACTGGGTTCGCCACATGGAATGGGCGCAGGGCCACGCACATAGAGGGGCTTCAGGCCTGGTTTAATGCTCTGCTGTCGCCATCTTGAAATTCTTCATTTCTGAGCAAGGGTTCCCACAGTTTTCTTTTGCACCGAGGCCCACAGATTAAATAGCCAGTCCTGTTCCAAACTGATACAGTAATCCACGCTTGGCCTTTACAAACATTAAAAGCTTGTATAGCAGCCACTTTTTCTCCACGCTTCACTAAAGGGAAGACAGTTCCTGTGTCCTCTCCGTGGAAACCATTATCATTCTTTGGAATGTAGTTTGCAGGATTGCTTTGCAGCCTCAGCTCTCTGAGGACTCAAAAATGTTGATTTTGCATATCATCCAGCTGTTCCTTTCTGGGTTGTTTTTTTTTTTTTTTTTTAGAGACAGTCTCATTATGTTGTTCAGGCTGGCCTTGAACCCCTGGCCTCAAGCAATCCTGCCTCAGCCTCCTAAGTAGATGGGACCACAGGGCGGCACCACACCCAGCCAGATCCAGCTGTTTCTTGTTGTTAGTGTGGGAGCAACATTCTTTGCAGGTTTCTGTGTCCTAAGCAGAAGTCCAAAAATGCTGTGTGTTAGAGCTTGTTATTTTTACGATCTGAATTTCAGCTAGCAGGGCGATTAATGATGGAAGCTAGTTCCCTCCTTTCAAAGGAGAATTTCACGTTTTTTTAGTTTAAAATTTTTCCTTCAGAAAACGTCATTTTTTTTTTTTCTCCCCACAACAAAATACCCCTTAGTGTCACTTACATAATAGGACGATCCAGAGTAACTTTATGTATTCTACTTTTTTCTGTCTCGGTTCAAGCTGCCCAGGTGACTGCTGCTATAACTGTTTTTTAAACTTTTAGTCTTCTGTGGATCCTCTGGAGGCATCCATCGCCTTTGATTTTTTTCCTCAGGGCTTAAAAATGGATTATATAGTTTATACCCTTACCTTTATCTTTAAACCAAGCTTTCCTGGGAGAGCTCTGGATTCGATCTTTGCTTCAAAGCCATTTCTTAATTTTAGCCTAACGTTAAATAATTTGCTACCCGCAGAGGCTGGGAATCTTCTAAACCAGTGAGCCCTGGTTCCTCTGTGTTCAACAGTTCTTTCTTTAGCTCACGTCATTCCTGCATAGTGAAAGCGACAGCCCCTTGTATTTGCTGCGACATTATCTATGTGACCTCAAAGTGACAGTGACGCCACATATCCTTATTTAGAGAATCTCCTCTCACTTCATCACTCCTCACCGCTCTTCCTGCTTCCCTTTGCAAACTCCCTCCCTACAATGGATGGACGTGGCCGATCCCCTCACTTGGATTTAATAATACAGTAGCTGTCCAGCACCTCACGTACAGGTACACAAACCTCTATGGTATCTTTTGCTCCATTACAAATGAACTCAAAACTTAGCTGCCTAAAACATTATTGATCACCTCACAAATCCCAAGGGCCAAGAATCCGGAAGCATCTTAACTGGGTGGTTCTGGCTCAGGGCTCTCATGAAGTTATACTGAAAGCTGTTGGCCAGAGCGGCAGTCTCTGAGGGCTGGATGGGCTGGAGGTCTCGCCCTGGGCTCCCTCACGTGGCTGTGGGCAGGAGCCCTCAGTTCCTCGCCATGTGGGCCTCTCCACAAGGCTGCTCACGACAGAGCTTCTTCCCCCAGAGCAAGTGACCCAAGACAGAAGCCACATCTTTCATAAGCTAAACTCAAAAGTGACACACCACCCACCACTTCTGAATAAATGGCCACACAGCCTGATCCTGGATCCCTGGGAGAGGACTACACACAGGTGTGAACACCAGGAGGTGGGATCACTGGGGCCACCAGAGCTGTCACATCTCCTAGGTGGCATAAGTACTTGGGAGCTCTCACAATAACCAGTTTTTTTTTAAAGGGTGTAAAAATGTGAGGGTCTTTTTTTTTTTCCTATACAAGCATAGAAAAGTCTGGCAAGACAGGAAACCATGGTGTTAGTCAAGCTTATTTGTAGGTATTGGGATTAGAGGTGATTTTTAATTTTGTTTTTGTAACTCTGTAAAGTTTTGAAACACTTTTACAATTAATCAGTCTAGAATCAGAAAAATATTTTTCATTTATTTGAAAGTGGGATATTCCAGAGACCAAAAAAATATTAAAGATTGAGACGACTTATTGTTTATTTCCAAACAAGTATTAAGCATCTACTATGTGGTAGGTACTCCTAGGGGGGAAAAAAGACACAGCCCTTGCCTTTAATTACCTATTTGAGAAAACAAAAACATGGCTGGAATACAGTGTAATAAATTCTACAGAAGAAGTGCAAAGGGCAACACATACGGGAGTCAGGTGAACAGACTTTTAAAATAGAACACGGGAAAGAAAAAAGGAGTGACTACGACAAAGTTAAGAGCCTTTTATACACACTTGGAGTTTGAACTCAGTATTATAATGCATGAATATACCATTACAGATAAGCAGGAAAAGGAAATGATCAGATATATTTTTAAAAATTCACCTATATTTTAATGCTTTCATAGTTTGTTGTTTTGTTTTGTTTTGTTGTACCTGGGACTACAGGTCCACGCCACCATGCCTGGCTAATTTTTCTATTTTTTGTACAGACGAGGTCTTGCTATGTTGCCCAGGCTGGTCTTGAACTCCTGGCCTCAAGCGATGCCCCCACCTTGGCCTCTGAAAATGCTGGGATTACAGGCGTGAGCCACCGTGCCTGGCGTGCTTTCATAGTTTTATTTCATTTGAGACTAGCCTGAGCAACCCCATTTCCAAAAAAAGAAAAGGAAAGAAAAAGAAGAAAAATTAGCCGGGCATGGTGGTGTGTACCTACAGTCCCAGCTACTCAAGAGGCTGAGAGAGGAGGGTCACTTGAGCCTAGGAGTTCAACGCTACAGTGAGCTATGATCACGCCTGTGAACAGCCACTGCACTCTATACAGCCTGGGCAACACAGTGAGACCCCCACCTCTCTCTCTCTCTCTCTCTCTATATATATATATGTATACATATATATGTATAGACATATAAAAATACTGATCCACTTGGAACTTTGTAAATGTTACAATTTAATACAAGGCAAAGTTATATAAACTGCAAACATTAGTTAAGTATAATACATACCTATCAAAAAGAACTTTAAAGCTGTAAAGAGCTTTCAAGCTTCTTTTTAAACTCTAGAACTACAGCAGAATAAACATTACTACTTATAACACTTCGAGAAGTTCAACTGAATTGTGAAAATTCATTGTGTAGTAAAATGGATTAGAGGCAGAAACCAAGGTTCTAAGACTTTGTTTTCTAACACACTGAGAAATGATGTCAGCTGGGAAAAATACAAATTATTGCTGGCCTTATTATATGCATTTTTATCTCAATCTCATTTAGTACATTGTAAGATGGCACAGTCCACAGATTATTATGTGCAGAGGACAATCCTTTATGCTGAGGTCCCCATGGATGTCAACATTAAAAGTTTACTGCCTTGAGCTCAATCAAGGTATGGCACGAGTTTAATGTGAAGCCTTTATTGTCGCGTAAGGTCATGGCATAACTGATTTTACGTAGAACACGTAGTTCTCGTCACTCTCCTAGTTGCTCTGCTCTTTCTCTTCCACGTTGAGCACGGTATCCACAGTAATCCCCACGTCCCCCAGTGACAAGCCTCCCTCCACTTCCAGAGGCCTTCTGGGGAAGGAAGTAGAAAGGCTGTAAAGGGACGTGTGGTACCCAAGTCTCATCATCCAGTCGAGTAAGACCTAGAAGATAAAAAGCTTAGTCATTATCAAGTACCGTACACAGTGTCCCTCTGGATGGCCATGACATTGTACAATTCTGTCACTGTCAAATCATGTCCCCAGGAGTAATGAAACAGAACTTTCACACCCTTCAGAGAAACTTTCCAGAGCTTAAAAGAAAATAGCTGGCCACAAATTTGGAGATGCAAATCATCTTTACTACCTTTTGTTTCAGAGGAGGCGTAGGGGATCACGGCAGCTCTGGACAGCATTCGCTTAACATTATAAAAGCCCCACCCATACATAGGGAATGGAAAAAGTATTCAATAAATAGATTGAGAATACAAGGTTAGCATTTGGGGAAGACATTATTTAGATCAAAATCTAAACCAACTCAGGCGTGCACGCCTATAATTCCAGGTACTCTTACTCGGGAGGCCAAGGTGGGAGGATTGCTTGAGGCCAGGAGTTGTAGACCAGCCTGGGCAATAGTGAGACCACCCCATCTCTACAAAAAATAGAAAATAGCTGGGCATGGTGGTTCATGCCTTTAAGGCAGGAAGATTGCTGAGCTCAGGAATTTGAGGCTGCAATGAGCTATGATCACGCCTCTGTACTCCAGCCTGGGTGACAGAGCAAGACCCTGTCTCCAAAAACAAATAGAAAAAGAAAGAAAGAAAGAAAGAAGAAAATGTAAACTAATAGTCAACATCAAAATCACTCAGGAACTTTGTACTTTGTCACAACAGCTATGTCTAGGCTCCAAAGACTGCCTTATGATGGCCTGATTTCCAAGGGGCCCTTCCTATAATTTTTTTTTAATTTATTTTTTATTTTTTTAGAGATGACAGCTTGCTACGTTGCCCAGGCTGTTCTCAAACTCCTGGGCTCAAGCAATCCTCCTGCCTCAGCCTCCCGAGTGGCTGGGACAAGAGGCACGTGCCACCACACCCGGCTACCATTCCTATAATTTTATAACATTTCCTGTCAAGAAGATTCCCATAGTAATGATCAAAATTTCCACTTACTGTTGCCTAAAATCAGTGCCTAGTTTGAAACATAAAATGTTTATTTTAAACAAAGGATGATTTGTTGTTTTAGCAAGAAAGATGGATGAAGGAATATTCTGGGGGAAGCTGCTGTTTCAAATACAGGTAATCTCTGACTTCAGCTGCTAGCCACCACCCAAGAACCTACTGATGATACTCCTTGCAATCAAGGTACATCTGTGTCATCATACTTAAAGCTCAATAATTTTCTAATATATGGATATACCTTAATTTAACCTTACAGAAACAGACATTTATACCTTTGAACATTTGTCTTTTTTTCCATAGAACACATTCTCACAAATGAAATTACTGGATCAAAAGATATATTTTTAAATATTTCAAAAATATAATGGTAAATTCTCCTACAGGAACACTAGTCCAATTTGCATTCACATTAACAAGGTATGAAAATCCTTGTTTTCCCCACACACTTGCCAAATTTAGGTACTATAAGTAGAAAATGGTGTCCCATTTCATTTGCATTTCATTGATTCTGAGGTCAAACTTTTTTTTTTTCATATTTTTATCTGTCCCTTGGTCTTCTTTAGGAAATCCTGATATCCATGTTTTTTTCTGCCATTCTCAGGTTTTTATCTTTTCCTTGATTTGTATAAGCACCTTATAAAGAATGACTATCTTACCTAAACAGTAAAATAATTTTTTCAAATTTGTCTTTAACTTTATGAACATTTTCTTTATAAAATTTTTAATTTTTATGTAGTCAAATCCATCAGTATTTCCCATTAGGGCTTAAAAAGCATTCTTATCACAGAGGATTAAATCCAACAATTGGGACAGAGAATTATTTACATATAATTTTAATGCACACATAATTATATGTTTAAATGTAATTAGAAATGGAAATATACCAAAATATTAGTAATTGGCATCACACTGCAGATATAATTCTTTTTCTCTCTACTTTTCCATGTTTTCCAAATTATCACTAACAAACACAGTCTTGTTTCTAAATACTGGCTGCTTCCTAAGGATTTAAAAGCATCTCACATTTCGCAAAACTGGGAAAATGTAAGTAAAACCAAAAAGAAAAAGAAGAAAAATATAGCAAAGGGAAGAACAAAATCTGAATGCAGAGATCACAGTTCAAAGCAGCACAGAGGTGTATCTAGTTATCTGCATTTCTGCACGTAGAGTACATATAATGTCCTTTATCTTCATCTGATGGGAATATCAGATGACGGTGTGATAATACCTTTTTTTATTCACACTCCATGTGAATAAACTATTGCCAAATTCAACAAAAACATTTCTCAAAATACGAATTTCCTCACTTACCTGGGAACTGCAAGACTTAAAAAACCTTCTCCTCAGGACACGCCCACTTGGACTTCGGAGAGCAACAGTAACTGTCTGGGGAATAAAAATGTTCAGATAAGAATTCCAATCCACTTGCTCTTTGCAGTTCCAAAATGACTACTCCTAGGCAACACCTGCAATTATTTAGAAAAGCTCGTAATGTGGAGATTTGTAGGAATTTAGCTCTGAAAGCAGTAGACCAACATCAAGATCCAGATAAAATTCACTTTAAACGTGGGAAATAATCCTTCCAAAATGGGAAGATAAACATCTTCCCACTGATTGAGGTCAGGGACCAAGCCTTCCAAAGAGGATCCTAGACACTAGATGCTCTGTCTGCCCAGATAATATCCAGATTGGAACTGGGCTTCAAAAGTGACCTGGCAAACCAAGAAGACCCAATGCCACCTCACATGCGACGGACAAGAACATTAGATTGGAAGGAAACAAGAACCCACCCATCCATTCTGTCATTGTAGGCTGCACACTGTCTCTGTGTATTCCCAGGCGTGTATGTCAAAGGGCATTATAAAAAAAAAAATGATGAATTAGTAATTTATTCTGATGTTCATTTTTTACCTGTTAGGAAATCCTTTCTTATGACTAACATCATTAGCTGTCCTGGGAGTTATATGGGTGCCATGTTATGTATACAACGGTGGTTTTAGAGCAGTACCTCCCCACCTCAGGAAAGCCATGAAAGAAAGTATTTCCTCTCAAATGATTGAGGAATTTGATTCACAACCAAATCAGTGTAATGTTGAGCCTTGTTAAATCAAAGTTCCACTGCAGTGCTATTACTTCCACTAAAGTTTTATAATAAAACATAGAATTATAAAAGAACTGAATCACAGATTAAAAGCCAATTCTGCTTATTTTTAGAAACAATAAAATTTTTACATTGAGGTTTGTTTACTGCGATGATCTGATAGGAGAATTAAGGCCAACTGCCTTGTGAGAAACTAGTATTAAAAGACAATGAAGTAATGTTTTTCGTTATGAGTAGATAAATACTTGAGAGAAATTAAATATCATTGTTTGAAATCTAGCAATCATTCTGCTCTTACTGTGAGGGTTGGTTGTGCAATTTCTCCTAACGTCACTGACAGTGTAGTGGCCTGCCATATGAATGGATAAAATGCATGGGCTGCAATTCAAACTGGAAAGAAAACCAGTGTCCCAAACACAGATAGTTAAGTGACATCTAATTTAAAAGTAGCAGCAATAGGCCGGGCGCAGTGGCTCACTCCTGTAATCCTAGCTCTCTGGGAGGCGAAGGCGGGCGGATCGTTTAAGCTCAGGAGTTCGAGACCAGCCTGAGCAAGAGCGAGACCCCGTCTCTACTGAAAATAGAAGGAAATTAATTGGACAACTAAAAATATATAGAAAAAATTAGCCGGGCATGGTGGCGCATGCCTGTAGTCCCAGCTACTTGGGAGGCTGAGGCAGGAGGATCGCTTGAGCCCAGGAGTTTGAGGTTGCTATGAGCGAGGATGACGCCACGGCACTCTAGCCTGGGCAACAGAGTGAGACTCTATCTCAAAAAAAAAAAAAAAAAAAGTAGCAGCAATAAATTAAAACGTGTTTCCCAGCTACTCCTTAAAATGAAATAAGACAGCTTACAATAATGCAAATAGTTGCTGTGGTAATACAGTAATTATGATGATTAACAAAATTATTTTCCAAATATCTTAAAATTCTATGGTGACTGTCTTTTCAACTCAAAAGTGGAACAGTAACATATGGTGCATATTCCACTGAGAATTCTAGACTACCATGAGTTATTTCTTCCTCTCATTGAAAAAATATAACCATATGAATATTTTAGAACTCTATAGATAGCTACAATACTAAATATAAAACAGGCACTGAATACATCAGGGTGTACAGCTTAAGCAAGAATTGCATTATTTTTCAGACCCTCTCATTAGAAATGCATGTTACTCATTAGTTCTCTCATTAAGGGTCTGCTCCTAAATCCCAGCAGGATTTTAGGATAACAGGAATTTTCTCATGTGGCTCATTATATAGTCACTACATATACAGAAACATATATCTATACAGTGGAAGCTTCATCTAGTTCTAATAATCTTTAAAATGAGTGTTAATCCCTTCCCTAGCAATACAGAATTAAAAGATGTCTCTCTATTCTGTGGGTGATATCAGACATTTAATGGGCTTAACTTTAATGAGAAAATAGAGAATTTCCTAAAGATTATGATTTCCAGTATTCCTAAAAGTGAAATTATCCTTTTACATATGTACTCATAACACAGTTATATAGCTTAGGGACTGAAATATATTTGTTATGGTAGGAGCAGGCTTAAATATGTATGATGATATGTACTGATTATGTTATACGACATGTAGCAATTATGATACTAGATCAAAACTGTTAAGTTAGGCCAGGCGCGATGGCTCACGCCTGTAATCCTAGCTCTCTGGGAGGCTGAGGCGGGCAGATTGTTTGAGCTCAGGAGTTCGAAACCAGCCTGAGCAAGAGCGAGACCCCGTCTCTACTAAAAATAGAAAGAAATTAATTGGACAACTAAAAATATATAGAAAAAACTAGCCGGGCATGGTGGCGCATGCCTGTAGTCCCAGCTACTCGGGTGGCTGAGGCAGGAGGATCGCTTGAGCCCAGGAGTTTGAGGTTGCTGTGAGCTAGGCTGATGCCACGGCACTCTACTCAGGGCAGTAGAGTGAGACTCTGTCTCAAAAAAAAAAAACAGAACCAAAAATCAGAACAGGGAGAAGGAAATGGGATAGTATTGCTTCTAGAGTGGGTAAGAGAGGTCCTGGCTACAGCCAGAGGCCTGGGTCTAACCCTTGTTCTACCACCAAGTGCCTCAGAAACTCCTCCTGCCTGTGGCTTCAACTTCAAGTAAAGAGATGGCATGGGATAGTTTCTGAGGTCCTCTCCCACTCTAAAATTCCATTACTCTGACATATGCTTTAATGAGTATAACACAAAATGTCATCTATCAAGTATTGGAAAAAGGCAGAAACGAAACACAATGGAATAAATAACAAAAGGAGAACATCGCCTGCCAATGACAAGACCAGTATCTGTAGCAGAGGGCTTCTTAACCTTTCAAGGGACACAGACCTGAGAATCTAAAGAAAAACACTGTCCCTCTACCTACAATCATGAAAAGGGACAATTTCAAGGGATTCACTGACAACCTGATGTCTGTCATCTGTGCACCTTCAGTGACAACGGTATTCTACAGGAATAATATCATATGCTTCAAAGCCAGGGTAAGTTCATAAAAGGCGTTCCCTGTCAAACCTAAGCTGTATTTAACACATTGACTGCCATGTGAGTTGTATTTAACTCACGCTAGTTTTGAGCCTGGGGCCTTGTGAAGTGTATGTAATTCACATGTCTCTTCTCCCTAGGAGCCCCAAGAACTATTTTTCAAGTTGTATATAAGTCACGCACAGAAAACAATAAAAAATGACAAAATTTTCATTAAATTAGAAAGGATTGTTTTGTTTTTAAAGTTTTTATTCTATTTTTGTAATAAAACACCATGGCCCCAAGGGAAAATTTTTTCTCTAGTGCAGCAGTCAAGGTGCTAATTACTCCTGTATTATAAAATGGTTGTCATGGATACCAACCAACCCAGAGCTTGATGAGAAGTGAGGATCAGGACAGACACGTCCTGGGCATGAATTTGTTGGGTATAATGGCGGAATTAGAAGTCTTTAAAAAAATTTTTGTTGTTCTCCTGGGGGTTTGGTATCTGGATTGCACACTTCATTGTCTTTGTATGACCTTCAGATTTTCCTCAGATATCCAGGGTTTTACGTTAAACTTAAATGTTACCAACATGTTGACAAAAACGAGACGCCCCCCAGTTGCTTTCATGGCTGCTTCAAAAATGGCTTCCAAAGAGTTGCTGGGCTCCAAGAAATGGAAAGCTATGAGGACTCTGCTTCTGGGTTTACCGCTCAAATGACTGGATGGCTCCCAAGACACATGCTCCCCGTACATTAGGGAAGCATCTGTAGCTAAGCTGGCCATGGCAGGAAGGCAGCAGAAACTAGGAAGCTGGGAGGAGGGCAGCTCAATGCAAAATGGGGAGTGAGTCCCACCCCAGCCCCTCAAACAGCAAACACCCTTAAATTAAAACATCTACAAGTTAGCTGCCGTCTTCGTTTTCTCTTTTTGAAAAGGAAAACTACAATGTTAAGTCATCTGCCTATTTTGATCCTGTTTTAATAAGTAACTCATTTGCTGATCTGCAGTTCTGGAAAAGTCCATATGTATCCCATGCCTGAGGCAGTGGCTCTAAAAGACAGCTCAGCAGATGGCAGGCTTCCAAAAACTCAAAGCAAGGCCTAATTACAGCACAAAGACATGAACAATTGTGCTTTCTTTTCTTTCTAAACCCAAGTTTGGATAGGATACAATTACTTAAAGAAAACAGAAAATAAATTTAATTTTCAAAGGAAAAAAAAAGCTTACTTCTTTGGCCGTTTCAGGTGGTTCTTCAGGTAAATCAAAAACCTAAAGAAAAGTAAGTATTGGTAAAAGGAATGTAAACATTTTCAAGAAGCAAAAAAAATCTCAAAGAGAAGAGTTTCTTTCAATATGGAGTTTACATACATCTAAGCTTAATGAAATCTTTTCTTTCAATATACATCTCTAAAAAGTTTACAATGAAAATGAGAGTTCAATTAATAAACATTTTAAAAATTAATAGGCCATTTAAAGGACTTTATAATTAATAAACATTTTTTTGGTAAGCAACTTTTTGCTAACAATAAATCATAAAAATAGGATTTGAGATGGCAGCTACCAATCTATACACATTTAAAGAATTTTGTTTTCATGATGTTCTAAGACAGTATATAAAAAATGTACTATTTTATATGTTTTTATTTTTTATTTTTGTTTTTTAAGGCTGGTCAATTGAAACAGTGGAAAAATGTTAAAAAAACAAGCTGTGTTCTAGGGCTCATGCCTATAGTCCCAGCTGCTCGGGAGGCTTAGGCAGGAGGATCACTTGAGGCCCGGAGTTAGAGTCCAGCCTGGGAAACATAAATGATACCTTGTCTCTTTAAGAAAAAAAAAGAAAAGAAAAAAAATATACACACACACACATATAAAAACAGACAATAAATATTAACATGAATTAAGTTCAGTAAGACCCCAAAATTATTTAGGTTCATTGATATACACATTTTAACATGAATATAAATTTCATCGATGTTCCTGGGAAATTGCTAGCAACCATTCACCATGATTGCTTTTGTCAGTCACTCAACTTTCCCTATTTCTGTTAATCTAGTAAGAAATTGGATATTCAGACCATTTCCTCTTAATAAAATACTGGTAACCAACGACTTCACCTTAGAAGGACACTTTATTTTTTAATACCATAGACTCTATGTTTTATGACATTTTATCTAACAAACATTACTTTCATTTACTAAATATTAATAATGCATTTGTTTTCCTTCGGTATCAAAAGCATATGTGACTATCAAGCCAAATTTACCATGAGCATGAGACAGTGTTATTACCAAAAAGCAAAGAAACTTGAATTTTTAATTAGTCCGTTTCATTCATTAGATCTTTTTGAAATGTTAGTAATATAGTTCAATAACCTGATTCCTATCCTCAGCCTCTACTATGGGACCAGGAAATCTCAGATGGAGGAGTGTATTAGAAACTGCTTTCAGGGACGAGATAGCCTCCCAGCATTCCCTGAGAGTCAGTAAAAACAGAGTTCTTATTTCCAATCTTTCCCAGCTCCAAACCGGAATCAATTTAGGGATTAAAGATCTGAAAGGAAAGCATGTATAATAAACCTGGGCACTACTCCAAAGTGACTGATTGCAGAAGGGCTGGGGAGGAAAATTATATACTCATGTTAATAACAGGTATTAGACACTCACAAAATATAGCTTAATAATATCATAAGCTACCTCTTAGGAATGTTTCCCTTAGTAAACATTATATTTTTCCTATCTATATAATCAAATTACTTCCTCAAAAAAAACTGAGTATTTTCTAAACCTATTATCATCTATCTTTAGCTCCCTTCTAAGTTTGGTTCCAAACATTAATAGGAAACAAGGTAAGTCATTCTTAATGAAAGCGATCACTTTGTAAGGTGGCAGGAAGACACCATGTGGATGAAAAGCCAGTCCTGATCTTTGCTCAATACACCGCCTCACCGAGGACACGGTTACAACTAAGTGACAGGCATAAGGTACTGAACCTCCTTCCACGTAGGCTGTTCAGCAGGTGGTGGAACTTCGGTTAAAGGCTTAGGCAAGTTCCGTCTCTTTGCTGCTTCTCTGTTTGATGTTTTAAAAGATGTCTGACTTGCATGTTCAAGCACCGAATCTTCATCACCCTGGTCAAAAACAACAAATAATTTCTAAAGTGATGCTTTCTGTAGACTTCATTCTATGCAAAATGGTTATTTTTTTTACCCTGATGGCATTTTGGTGTAAAAATCTAAGCAAGCCATTATGAGACCCAGAAAATTAAAGCGTTATCTCCTTAGACAAGAAAATATGGATCCCAATGTCTGGAAGAAACTACCCACATCCAGTTACGTGGTTTACTCAAGATGGACAAAAGGCTACAGGCCCCTTTCCACCTTTAACCGACCCTCAAGTTTCTCAGTAGCATGGAAGAGAGAAAACACCCTGAAAATATGCAAAGGAAGCAAAGCAGTGCAAGGGATTATGCTTTAAAAGACTGTGGAAATGTCTTTAAGGATATTCCTTTTCCTTGGTAAAAAAAACCCAAAACTTAAAATTGTGAACTTCCATTAGCAACGAACAAAATTCACATTCAATGCCAGAGGACAAAATAGTCAAACACTAATTTGACTTTTAAGAAGTCAAATATAATGAATATAATGGGAGCTTAATACCTTGAAGATCTTACTGAGGAAAGATCAGAATTTTCTCATACGAGAAAACAGTGATTCATTCAACAGTTTTCTCAAACACTACAATCCAAATTATGTGCTCTTTAGGCACCAAAAACCACTTAACCATTAGATACAAATATGCTGAATAAAAACTAATATACAATCATTATCAGTAAAGACTCCTAAAGACAGACTGCTCAAGGCTTAGCACCGTTTTCAACTTGAGAAAATGAAAACATGTAAAAGGAAACATAAGTAATAACAGGATTGAAAATATAAAATAAGAATATTTTCTAACCCCGAGTTTGTGACCATTGCTTAACTTCCAGGTTTCACCCGTCATCTGATAAAAGCGCTCCTCCAGTTTTTTCAATTTCATTTCCTGGTGAGGTTTTAAAACGTTCTCTATGTATCTGTTGGCCTGTTTAAAAAAACAAATTAGGTGTTGTTACTGTATATTAACTTTCCGAAAAATTGACATTGTCTATAAAGTTGTAAATATGAACTAGGTAGGAAATCGTGTTTTCACGCTAATTTTTTCTTTTTTTTTTTTTGAGATAGGTTCTTACTCTGTCACCCAGGCTGGAGTACAGTGCTGCAGTCACAGCTCACTGCAACCTTGAACTCCTGGGCTCAAGCGATCCTCCTGCCTCAGCCTCCCAAGTAGCTGGAACTACAGACACCCACCATCATGCCCAGCTAATTTTTTAATTTTTTTGTAGAGGCAGAGTCTCACTATGTTCAAAGGCTGGTCTCACACTCCTGGCCTCAAGTTAACCACCTGCCTCAGCCTCCCAAAGTGTTGGGATTATAGGTACGAGCCACCACACCCGGCCACTAATTCAATTTTGCCAAAAAACCAGCAACCTCCACTTTGCATCATTCTCTAAGAATTTGCATTGATACAAAATGCAAATGAAAACAAATTTCTATATTTACATTTGTATGGCCGTGTGACTATATATTCTTTAGTTGTGTTTTCAGTGCACAAGCGCAGAAAGCTTAACTTTAAATGCCCCAGATTTTTTTGCATTCTCTCTATACACTCTTGAAAAATTATGCTTTACCTTTTCACCCTGTGCCTCCTGCTGCTTTTTTCTCACAAGTTTTTGCCTTTTCTCATGCTTCTCTTCTTCTTCTTCTAAGACATCAAAACAGAAAAGTGTCTTTTAATGCCCAAGTATAGGTCAAATGGTTTTTTTCTCTGAAAATAGTTTGTAGAGTTTAACATTTGGGGAATGATAAAAAGCCTTTAAAAAAGATTCTATTTTTCAAATAATGAAAATGAGATATACGCAGACAGTTGAAACAAGGAAATCCACAAGAAAATCAATACTAAAAGCTCTGTTCTAAAACAAAAATTCTGATATGTATTAATACTGTGTGTACAGTCGGCTTTCTGTATCAGATTCGGCCAACTTCAGATTGAAAATGTAGTTAGGCCTCTGATGGCTGTGTCTGCGCTAAACAGGTACAGCCTTTTCTCCTTGTCATTATTTCCTAAATAATACTGTATAACAGCTATTTACATAGCATTTACATTGTATTCGGTATGTCCTGGAACCAATCCCCCATGGATAATGAGGGACGACTATAATAGTTTTGCCAAGGAAGCTTCTAGAATATTCTGGTGGGTTTTATTCTGCAGGCCCGACAGGGCTCCAGCAATTCCACGGCTTGGCATGGAAGCCCATTACTGCACATGAAGTGTGGAAGGCTGCACTGCCGGCCTGAGCAGTGCCATCCCACTGCCCTTGGATGTGGCAGAGAAAGCAATATGCTCAGTCCCCAAAGGTGAGTGTGCTTGGCATCTCCTATATTGACCGAACCAATATTCGGTTATTGCCCATTGAATGTCAAGACAAAGAACTGCTGCTGCTATATGGACTCTTTTATTCTTGGTATAGTAAGTTGCATTTAAGTATGTGGCTCCATTCTTCAAAGAACATTTAAAGAATAATTTTCTAATACAGCAATAATATTCAAAATGGCTCACAAATATTAACGGTGAACCAGAAACGGTATTACCTTGAGGAATAATCCATCTTTAGGAAAACATATCCTTTGAACTGCTTTGCTCCTTGAATAGGAGCACACCCTTCCACCAACAACTTTCTCTCTATGGCAGTAAATATTTCCCCAAGTTTATAAAACTAAGATTAGGGCAGTAAACCCAACAGGAAATCACAGGGCCCAAATGCACCACTAACTTGCTACGTGATCAATCAGAGTCAGTGATCTTAAGACTCCTTCCAGACTCTGAATCAAAGAATATACTTTTAAAATAAATCAATAGCCAGGGATAGTTTTTAAAGCCACTGAGAACTGACTGCTTCTGAACTTTTGATACACCTCATCTTGCAAACTTTTACATCTCGATATCTGATGACAGTAGGGAAGATAGTGTATGAGCAAGTTGGGTTTTTTTACTCATTTGAAGAAAATCTGACAATAATTAGGCACTATATATAGTCTTTTTTTTTTTTTTTTTTGAGACAGTCTCACTCTTTTGCCCAGGCTAGAGTGAGTGCCGTGGCGTCAGCCTAGCTCACAGCAACCTCAAACTCCTGGGTTCAAGCGATCCTTCTGCCTCAGCCTCCCGAGTAGCTGGGACTACAGGCATGCGCCACCATGCCCAGCTAATTTTTTCTATATATTTTTAGTTGGCCGATTAATTTCTTTCTAATTTTAGTAGAGGCGGGGTCTTGCTCTTGCTCAGGCTGGTCTCGAACTCCTGAGCTCAAACAGTCCGCCCACCTCGGCCTCCCAGAGTGCTAGGATTACAGGCATGAGCCACCGCGCCCGGCCTATATATAGTCTTAATATTACTTATTAGGCAGTGTTAGCCTTCAGTGATGCCTCAAATTGTCAACCCATAAATGTACCAAATGACTTGTACTCCAACAACACAAAGGTACAACTTAAAGTACAGAAACTGTGTCAAAGGCACATTTCTCTTCTTTATAAAACATGGAATTGAGTACCTGACCTGCTAATTTAATGTATGCAGCAAATATCTTCCTGATATCAGAATATATTTAACACAAAATTCCTAAGAGAAATTATTATGTTCTTGTTTAATTTTCTAACTGATTCATTTGAAGTATAAGAGGTCAAATAACTTACCAAAAGAAAAACAAAATCCAAAATCTGTGACTGAGAGATCTTGAAACATCCACATTGTCTTTTGTGTTTGGGTTGAAGAGTATAACCTTTTAGGATTATGGTTTTATTCATAGTTAATTTGAAAAGGCTATAAGTTAAACACTGCTCATTTTCCTTGTGTTTGCTTACATTTAAACAAACAGTAGAACAAAACACAACATACCAAATTCACTACTTGCAAGCCTCTTCCCAATAGCATATAAGAGACACAGCTTTTAGTTTTACGATTCATTTGTTCTGAGGCTAAGTACAATATTGTTTTAAAAGGCTTCTAAAACTCACAAACTTTTGCTTATCAAAAAGAAAGATGATTTCCTAAAATTAAAAGCACTTAACTATACACATGACATAGGTGCTTAAAGAAAAACTGCTAGAATAGAATGAAAAATTAGTATGCAAAACCTTTAGAGATTAATAGTAGATAAATTTACTGTAGAACAGTTTATAAACTGTGTATCAACAAGCAGTTAAGCAGCACAAACACACAACTTCAAATTAGGAAACTTACAACGTAACAACTTAGATATGATATAGTTTCAAAAAAACATATATAAGGAAAATGTAGAATTTCTCATGAAAAAATTGGGATTTATAGTCCATTCAAAACATTCATACTAAAGTTGTAATGATTACTCTTCCTTGCAACTACACATCACGAATTAATGGTATTGTGCAAAGTTCTAGAATAAATAAAGAAATTTCAGTAGAAAAGTATAAAAGGTTAGCATAAATAATAAACTTACCTTTCAGATAAGCTTGGGGAGATTTAAATGAGTTAAGCCATGAGGTAGTCAAAGAGATAATTAAAGTAAGAAGAGCAAGCAGTAAGAAAATCCGTCCACACAGCAAAATGAAATCTTTAATTCCTTACAAATAAAAAAGAAATTAAAATTAAAAAACACTTTTCTTGACAAAATAATAACACATTAGAAGATTATCTGTAGAAAGTATAGTAAAAGTTAAGTTTTCCATCTGTCTTATGATCTAGTTGATACACAGTCGTCCCTTGGTGTCTGTAGTGGATTGGTTCCAGGATCGCTATGGATACCAAAATCCACAGATACTCATGTCCCGTACATAAAATGGTGTAGTAAATGCACATAACCTATACACATCATCCTGTATGCTTTAAATTATCTCTAGATAATTTATAATATCTAATACAATGTAAATACTATGTTAATTAGTTCTTGTATTGTTTAGGGAATAATAACAAGGGAAAAAACTCTGTCCATGTTCAGTACAGATGCAACCATCCATTTTTTTTTTCCCCCGAATATTTTCTTTTTAATTTTTTTTGTGGAGGCGGGGTCTTGCTATTGTTCAGGCTGGTCTGGAACTCCTGAGCTCAATCGATCCTCCCACCTTGGCCTCCCAGAGTGCTAGGATTACAGGTGTGAGCCACCGTGCCCGACCTTTTCCAAATATTTTCAATTCACAGTTGGTTAAATCCACAGATGCAGAACCCATGGATACAGTGGGCCAACTATATTTATTCTCCTTTGGGCACTAAAACTCATCATTTATCATTACCAGGAAAAGTTTTCAGGATATATAATTCTCTTATTTCTCACAAATTGTGCAACGGGGCCAGGTGCAGTGGCTCACACCTGTAATCCCAGTACTTAGCAGGGCGAGACAGGAGGATCACCTGAGCTCAGGAGTTCCAGACAAGCCTGAGCAGGAGGGACACTCCATCTCTACTAAAAACAGAAAAATTAGCCGGGCATGGTAGCATGTGCTACTCAGGAGGCTGAGGCAGAAGGACTGCTTGAGCTCAGGAGCTTGAGGTTGCAGTGAGCTATGATGATACCACTGCACACTGTACCAGGGGCGAGAGGGTGAGACTCTGTCTCAAAATTGTGCAGCTGTGTGCTTCTCTATTTCTCAATACTTATTTAGTCATTTAAAAAAAAAAATGCCAATCAAGGGGCCGCCCAAGAAAAAAAAAAAAAATCAAGAATTGGGCTTAGATTATTTTAAGAACCAAAGTGAAAATTAAATCAGCAGAAATCTAACAAGTACCTACTTTGTCCAATACAATTTGCTAAATGTTGAGGAAGGGAGATATAATGTTGGGTTTAAAATAGTTTCTATCCTCCAGGAGTTTTTAGTCTGGTTTCGTTTTTTCATTTTCAAAAGTTACATGGCACAAGTGTAGAGGAACCATCTTACCAATGTGATCAGGGGGTAATTAGTCAATTAACTAAAGCTTAAAGAAGAAATTATAAAAACTTATATACTAACACAAAACACATATATTATGTAAAATAAAATTTTAAAAACTCAGCAGTTTAAAGTTATTTAGAGAAGAAATATGATTTTTTTTGTCATCCAACTTGACAGCATTAGCTTTTGATTCCGGTGTTGTTCAATACAACACACGATTAAATCTAGGGTATCCCTGGTCATCACAAAAGTAATTTACTATCTGGATACTGGTACTTTCTAGAACTCTTGGCCTAGTTTTATTAGACATTGTGAAAAGAGCTGGGAATACAAAATCAAATTTGAAGTGGTCTCTTGCCCTCGAGGAGTGTATTTCTTTGTAATCAGAGCTGATCGTGGGAGCAAATCTCCTTCTGCAACCCTCAGTAAAGACCTTCTCTTTGACTAGTGACTCAAATATTAGTGCAGAGTATAATGAACACAGTAGGGGTGGATCTGTAAAAGGAAGGGAACAGGTGAATTCTGGAAAAGGTGAGTGTGAATTCAACATTCCTAATCATTTGGATAATGAATGGTCTTGTTATGTTCCAATATAGCCTAAGTG